ATTTACCAAGTCCAGGGTCATAGGTATACCTTAATAAATCATAATATTAGGCATCCTGTAGTTTACGGTATATATTCCCTAATTACGGGATATTGGGATCTCTAAGTAAGCACTGTGGAGCATACTTCTCAGCTTTCGTAAGCCGTCAGTACCAAGCCATAAGCCCTTTCGAGTTGTCCCAAGCTTCTGCGTTAGAGTCGGATTATGGCTTGGAGTGTGGGATTGAGAGGTTTAAGGCTTAAGGGAATTTGGCTCCATTGCTTCCACCACCTTCCGCTCAGTTCTAAGAATCCATAGGATCGGAAGCTCATAATGTCTGCCAGTTGCCTCGCAAATCCGCGGCCTCCGCGGCCGCCTGCTCACAGCGTAGCATGCACTGCATGTGAGGAACAACGCGGTGGGCCGGGGAACTTATGCACCAGCATTGCGAGAAAGCCTGGAATCTGAGCAGCCTCGAATCACACTGTGACGAAAGTTAGTGCCGAAGAGAGGCAGCAGGTCGAGCAATGCAGGCCCGGGCTAAAAAGAAGTTGAGGGTCTTGAGAGAAGGTTGCCTCCTGAGGCTTAGCATCTGCTACACAGCACATCTCAGCTTCAAAACTGGGAAGTCGAACGAACCCTAAAGTATCACAATACTAAACAAAACCCACAATCGGCTTGAGCCCCAAGCCTAAATCCTAAACTCCCTCAACCCTATAAGCCCTATACATCCTAAACTCCCTAAACCCTAAGCCCCAAATGAAAGAAGCCCATGGCTCCGGCGCAACATCTGCCCCAGACCGCTCGACGGATGAGCCCGCGGCCCCAAAACGGAGTCGGGTTGAGGGTTCAGGATGTTAATGTAGGGGCCCTTTTAGTTAGAACAGGGTTTGGGGGTATACTACGCTATAAACAAAAACTGTGGAACCCCCAAAACCCCGTTCTAATTATTCAGGCCCCTACATGAGTTTGGGTTGGTTTCGGACTTTGGGGTTTGGGCCACGAAGGGGGATTGGAAAGTGTGAGCAGAAGCAGTAGATCTGAGAATACTAATGATAGTATCACTATCGAAATCAGAATGCGTGACGTGACAATCAATGACGATAAATGATGATAGCAGGTAAAGTTTTCGTATTCACCTGGAATACAGAGAGAGAAGGAAACCGCACTTTGAGGTCAGAGAGTTTGGGGATCGAGGTTTGCAATGTCACGACTTGTTCATTCCTAGTAACACCCCCTAAATAAAGCAAAGTTGCCGCAGGTTTGCCAGGCAGGCACCCGTAGGTATCCGATGTGTCCAGTGGGTCTAGTGTTGAGAATCTCCAGGGAACATACACCCACGACCGTTGTGCTAGTTATCATGTGATTTCCGATCACCCAGGCCGATTGTCAAACTCAATTTGGGTTGAATAGATGGTAAGGCTAGTAAGTTCCAAGGCGATCGTTTATGGTAGTTTTATGGGTTTGCCCGCTAGTAGCCGGGTTCGCCAGTCAGCGTGGTCGAAAGGTAAGACCTCGAAGCTGACCCTCGTGGCGCTCGTTTTCTCCGTCACCACCCGCATCACGCCACTTGCCTGCACTCTCAGAAGCGACCCCGTTTTGCTGGATGATATGTCTAGCAGCCCTCGCAAACCCCGGACCGATAAAGACCTTGACGTGTCCTGTCTCATTGCAAGTGAGCCCCGCGTGTGCGGACTAGCTGACTAGCCCACAATGTTTTGAGTAGGACTTGTTGCGTTCAGCGCAGTGGCTCGCAAGCCCGCTACAGTCTGGAATCGGAATCCGGAGGATGGGCATCGAACTTGGATACGCAACACACAAGCGACAGACTCTTCGACATTGCAATCCGAAGAGAAGTGCCAGGTGTAGTCGTGTAGTCCTATGCAAAGGTATGGCGGTATGTCAGTGGGCGTGTGCATATGGAATGTATACGTTCAATTTCGAGTTTGGATCGTGCTTTGCTTCTTAGATGAGCCATGCGTCGACCAAGTCGCTACATCTCCTTCCTGCATAGCCCATATAAGAACTGAGGCACAGAGGTTCTTCCCTTGCGGGCCTGGGTGTTCCAGATTGTGATAACATGCATTCCATGTTTCTTGTGTACGACCATTTGCTTGGAGGCCCTGGCTACAGCAAGCCGCGGGCCACATGCTTCGGAGAGGTGCCAATGGATCGTAGCAGACTGTCAGAAGTGTAAGTGCCAAAATGGGATTGCAAAAATCATCATGCTGGCACAGACACACCAACAGAGACGGTCAAGTTCATTCAATTTCCTTGTGGTGTCCGTCCGGATGTGCATTGCGGAATGTCATGGCTTGCGCCGAGTTTTGGCTCCGCACACGTCAGGAAACCCTAGGAGATCCTAGGAAGCGGCCTTGAGCCCTTTGCCCTCGTCTTACACTCCCCTCCCTACTTCGCGGCTTGTCCGCATATCGTTTGGCCATGCGGAACCTCCAGGTTGCATACCTCTCTATCGGCTCCTCAAGATTGCAAGGGTGTTGTTCTTTGGGGCTGCATTGACCAGCAGGGTTGATTCATGACTTGATGGACAAGACTTGAGTCGCTGGTCGCTGGTGTTCAGAGACGCCATGTCATCCTAAGCATGCGGAGAGGCTCGCATGCTAAACATGCAACCATTGTTGTGGCACGCTGTCGTCCGTGAGAATCGGTTGCTCCTGTTGCGTTGCGATCAAAGCCTCCGGCAGATAACTCGCCCGTTTCTTGTCGCTGCTGTGGATCTGAGGGGATGCCCTTCCTCGAGACCGCCAGCTTCCGGGAGTGGAAGGGCGATGGGAACTGGGAGCCGGTGAATGCCACGGGTGCCTTTCGAGGCCGCGCTGCTTCCCCTATTGGGTTGCTGGCAAGGGAGGGAGTTGCAGTCGTGTGCCTGCTTTGCGTTGTTTAGCTGTTCCGAACTTCGTAGCTCACAACCGCGAGGTTTTCGGAATGTCGGCTGGGGCTTCATCTCCATGCTCACCGGTTCACGGTTCAAGAAGTACGTGGTTGTGGCGAGCCGGGGTCCTCCACATACCGTCGTGGCCGAGAGCGACGACGAGGGAGACTTTGTGGAGTGCCTTCGCAAGCTCAGCTTCATCGAGCTGCCAGCGGAAGCCATCATGCGATTTGGTTCATTGCAGTTTACAAAGGCTTTGGAGCTTCTGGTGAACAAGGCAAAGAACCAGGGAGGAATTCGAAGCGGTCTTGATACAGCACACAATGTCCTGCCGCTGTCCCCTGAAATCTTGCAGAAGCTCTCTCGACTCGAGGCAGGCCTGGAGGCAAAGGAGAACACGCTGCGACGGTGCCATGAAGACTTGGCGAGCAAAGAGGCTGAGATCCAACGCCTTCGTGAGGACTTGGCAAGCAAAGATGCCCAACTTCAAGCAATCCAGGACCAACTGCGCGCCAACGCGGAGGAAGCCGTACAAGAGGCCTTGCGCCTGGCCGCACCCTGCAGGCCTAGCAGAGTGGTTGTTCCAGCTGATATGAGTGCAGGTCATCTGAACGAGCCTCAAGCAAACAGTCCAGCAAGTGCCGATGAACACGAGCACACTGCTTGGAGTGAAGCTTCATTGGAGGTGGCCAACATTGCTCTAAGGGCACCGATGCTTGGGCCCAGCTGTCCGATAAGCCTTGCAGACTGCAGCGAAGCTCCCCCTCCGGCTCGGCCCGACAGCGACAGCGAACCCCCGAGTCTTTCTTTAGCAGAGAAGTTGCTTGCTGGTGCCTCCTTCCAGGGCAGCCAACTCGAGACATACTGGCGCCTTGCCCTGGCACCTTACAATGCCGTCCGCCAGAATTTAGGCCAGAATTTTGTCGAGGAGGCAGGATTCCTGTGGGAGGTCGTGGCCGACCGACGAGCCACGAACACGCGAGTAATTGGCCGCGACGTGAGTCCTGGAGTTGTGGAGTTGGGCTTCCGAGGCACGGTCTTCGCTGATTCTACCGGCGTTTGCAACTATGCAAATCTCTCAACAGATCTGGACACAGAGGCTGTGCTCTTGAGCCCTCAGCTGGTGCCAGGCACGGATTCTAGAGCCGTCATGGTGCACAAAGGCTTCCAGCAGGCGTACCTGGCAGTTCAGGCAGATGTTTTGCAATGGCTTGAGAGCCGCTGTCCACCGCCCTTTGAGATCCATCTTTCAGGTCACTCCTTGGGTGCGGCCTTGGCAACTTTGGCGGCCATGCAACTCTGTGCTCTCGATCGGCCTGTGGTGGCGGTGGTCACCTTTGGCAGCCCGCCACTAGGAAGTGAGGAGCTAGGACAACGTTATGCAGACATGGGTTTGGAAAGAGTGACAGTCCGGTTCGCGAACCGGGCGGACCCGATTCCTCGTTTGAAGGAGCTGGTAGGGAGCTTCTGCGATTTTGAGCATGTCGTGCCAGCAGTGCGGCTTGGAAAGACAATGACAGACCTTTGGGTGCCTACGCCTTACAGCCACTCCATGTCCGGCACCCCGGAATCGTATCTCAGCACGCTTCAGGATGCCACGGAGGGCATCGGAGGGCCACATCCGCACAGGCCGGGCTTTGGCAATGTTGCGAGATGCCGATCCCTCTTTGGCCTTAGTCGGCTTTGTGCAAACAGGCTTGGTTGGGACACTGGCCCGGGCAGTTTCAAACCAAGGCAGCTTCCTGACCGTGGCCACACAGGTGAGGCAGCAGATGCAGGTAGACGTGGCCTTGGTGCGGCGGGACCTTGCCCGGCTGGCAGAGGGCCTGGCAGAGACGGCCCGGGAGCTGCGATCCCACATCATACGCGCCCACGAGTGGGAGCGAGCCCTCGACTTGGAGGCTATGGTCGACCTGGTCGTCCAGCACTCGGACATGTTGCCCACATGGCAGGACGGGAAAATGCCCGAGTGGTTCATGCGCCTCCACAGGGCCAAGCGGAAGGTCTACGAGGCCTGCCTGGCTGGGCTTCGGGAGCAGTCCTCCAAACTCTTCCAGCCCTTTCTGGTACTCTTCCTTCGGGCCGGCCTTGTCCTGCTGAAGGCCATGGAAGCCTGCGGCGCGCCTGCTGCCAATTACAGAAACGAACTGCAGCGGTTTCGACTCGAGTCTGAGCACTTGGCTGGGAGCCTTGACTGGCAGGCGCTGCTGCAGGATGAGACCACCTCACCGATCCAGATCTGCTCTCTGCTGGAAGCAACACTCGAGGGCTTTTCCATAGCTGCCGTAGCACTTTGCAGGGAACTGTGGCAGGCAGCACAGCCTCACAACTGTGTTGTCAGGTTTACAGCAAAGCCGACGGCGCTGGCGCTGGAGTTCAATATCTTGAAGAAGGGAGATACTGCTCATGCCCAGGAGGGCTCCTTTGATAACAAGCTCAAGATACATCTGTTTGAGGACATGCAGCTGACCGACGAGACCTTGCAGGTATGTAGTTGTTTGTTCCAAGCAATGGTGTGGGTTCAAGCTGTAGGCGTCGGGGTCTATATTAATTTGCTTCACGGCTTGTTGGACCACCCATAGGCAGAGCACGCCTGAAACAAGACCCATGCACGACGCAGGTTTTTGCTGCTCGAATGCCGCACAGCCTGACCTCCTTGAGCTCGAGCTTCGTGAGCAGCATCAAGTTCTCGGATGCATCTCCGAAGATTTTCGCTGGTCGATTGCCCCAGCGCCTGACCTCTTTGAGCCTGGACTTTCTGTCGAATGAGCAGTTCACGGATGCATCTCTGAAGGAGCTCGCTGTTCGATTGCCCCAGAGCCTGACCTCTTTGAGCTTGAACTTTTGGCAGAATAGGCAATTCACGGATGCGTCTATGAAGGAGCTCGCTGGTCGATTGCCCCAGAGACTGTCCTCTGTGAGCCTGAACTTTGAGCAGAATAGGCAATTCACGGATGCGTCTATGAAGGAGCTCGCTGGTCGATTGCCTCAGAGCCTGACCTCTTTGAGCTTGAACTTTGGGCAGAATATGAAGTTCACGGATGCATGTCTGAATGAGCTCGCTGGTCGATTGCCCCAGGGCCTGACCTCTTTGAGCTTGAACTTTCGGCAGAATACGAGATTCACGCACGCATCTCTGAAGGAGCTCGCTGGTCGATTGCCCCAGGGCCTGTCCACTTTGAGCTTGAACTTTGAGCAGAATATGGAATTCACGGATGCATCTCTGAAAGAGCTCGCTGGTCGACTGCCCCAGCGCCTGACCTCTTTGAGCTTGAACTTTGCGAAGAATATGGAGTTCACGGATGCGTCTCTGAATGATCTCACTGTTCGATTGCCCCAGAGTTTGACCTTTTTGAGCCTGAACTTTTGGCTGAATATGGAATTCACGGATTCATCTCTGAAAGAGCTCGCTGGTCGATTGCCGCAGAGCCTGACCTGTTTGAGTCTGGACTTTTGGTGCGGGCGGTTCACGGACGCATGCAGGTTTCGGAAGTTCTTGGCATCCAAGTAGAGGTCTTGGTCATGGAGCTTCCAACGAAGGGCTGCTCGTGCACATGTCAATTGCAGCATTGTGGGAGCTCAGCTTGGATCTTCCCGAAGACAAGGAGCTTGTTCACTGAATCAGACTCCAAACCTTCAGCAACTCCAAAGTAGCATACAGATGCCACGCTTTGTTGAAGCGCCTTTGCTGTTGGACCAATCTCCAGCACATGGAGATGTTCGGTTCGCTGGAATCCCAAAGCCCAAAAACATTCGACCACTGAGCGTAGAAACTTAGACTACAACACCGTGCGCTCAACCGAAGAGAAGCGCCTCAGGAGTTTGGCTTGGCCTTCTTGTGCCCTTCCAAGCAGTCTGCATCTCAGCGGCCGTGCCTTGGTTACTCCCCCTGCTGCTCTGAAGGAGGGCTTTTTGCACGCAGTTCCGCTTCTGTACAGAAATAACAGGGGGCATGTCATTGTGCTTCATCACTCTCATTGTAGATTCTCCTCAAAGACAGAGGAGGCTTGATTTTAGATGCCCTCCTTTATCAAGTTCCAGCTCGAACTTGGATTCGAACCATCAGAGGAATCGGCCACACGTTGGCTCTGCAAAAGTGTCAGGTGGTCGGCTGCTGAGTCCCAAGATCCTTCCACAAACATTACGACTCTTTGACCCCTATAGAAACCCTTATAGATCCCTTTTGGAAGGGAGCCTACTGTAGAGAACTTGTGAGGCTAGCATGTAGACAGTCTGACTTCGCGTGGCTATCGAGCCGTCACCTGAACAATTTGCAACAAATTTGCATGCATGCTGCCTGCCAGCCGGCAATTTTCAGGCACATTTCCTTGGACAAATTCAGAAAGTCGACGCGGCCTTGCCAGAAAAAAAATTGCAGTAGAAAGCTTATTGAACCATTTCCAACAAGATCCTGTTCTGGCCGCCCCAACTTGACCGGAGTTGGGCCTGTGCAGCACACAATGCAGAGCGGACATCGGTTTCCAAGCGCACAACGGGGTTAAGCAAAAGTTTGGACGCGGTCTTTTGCCACGTGCCGCGATTACACCTATCCACATCAAAAGATTGCCTGACTGCCATCGGTGGAATCGGCGATAGGGTCGCCAACAGACCTACCATCATGCGTCGCTTAGGTTGTAGGTAGCAGGTAGGACGAAGGCAGGCACAGCATCAACCATTCACACACAAGGTGTGAAGAGTTCGACATGCATGACCAAGTGAGAGTTGCGGCCTTCGAAGCAGGTCGCCCAGCAGCAGTGGGAAAAAAGCGCGTGACGTGTGAAAGTCTCTGGTGACTTGACTTAGAGACTTTCAATAAACATTCTCACCGTCAGTGAAGACGCCAGCCCTGCTCATTCTTGGGCACGGATGCTGATTTGAATTCACGAGAATCGTTGAGCTCCATATATGTACTTCTCCAGACTCCTGCAGCTGTGAGCCCAGCGAAACACAAGACCCGTGAGCTCCTCAGAGGCTTCATTCATGTTGAGTTCCCGGAAACCCTAAGCCCTATAAACCCTAAACCTTATAGAACTCGGAAGTTGAAACCAAGCCGATGCCTCGCAGGTGCCTGGGGAGGTCGGAGATCTTTGCTGGACGCCGGGCACGTTGCCTCCTCTTTCCGAGGCTCGAGCTCTGTCTACACGGGGCTTATGGGCGTTGTTTGCCTTTCTTTGTTTGGTGATTGGGCAGCTTGTTTCAGGGTTAAGGCTTAAGGGGCTTGAGATTTGAGGGCTCAGGGCTTTGGGTCGGAGATGTGGAGCTCAGGCACCTGAGCTTCACTTAGGATTGAGACGTTCGGTTTTGTGTTTCGGAAGTCTCGGGGCTCTTGGTTTTTCCTGCGATACTTGCAAAAGACCAAGTTCTGGTCTCGGATCGTCCCTTTTCCGCTCTTTCATCAAAGCAGATCCAGTTCAGAGAAGACTCTGGGCATCTCTGGGCTAAACTCTTGTCGACTCGGATTCGCTCCCAGGATGTCAAGAGATTCTAAACATGCCCTGCACCTCGAGCACGTACGGCTTCTTGTCCGGAGGCTTCCAGAGGTGTTGGTGCTCTTTGCGGGGAGCCTTGCCTCTTCGAGCGCCCGAGCCCTGGATCCGCGAAAACAGCGGCCGTGAGGGTTCTCGGGCAGGTAGAATTTGGAATCGTGGGGGTACACTAGCATGCTCCCTTATGTCTGCAGAATGCTTTCTACAACCCCGATCTCCGATACCGCCTGGTTCATGTGAAAAGGTTCCCCCACTCACTGTCACACAAGGCTTTAACCCAGCCGGAAGCCTAGCGGTCCACGAGCTGAAGCCCCAAATCCTGCCCGCGAGGCCTCTTGGTTTGGGTCCCGCGCCACAGCTTCGGCAGGAAGTACTTCCCTTGAGGAGCGGCTGTGACTTCTGGACGGAGAGGGGTGGCTTAATGGGTGCAATAGAGTTGCATGGCATTGCAGTGTGAACCGGTCATAGTTAGTTTAACTTTCACGCATTGGTTTCAAGACTTGTAGTACGGTCGGCCGGGGGTTTCTGCTAGAACCTGAGCACTGTTGACCGCCTGGGTGTTGCATACAGTCACCCCCAAACTGCAACGCTCGACGTGCGCTAGAATATCGGGATTTCCGAAAATGAGGGGTACCTTATTTTGGGGGTCCTTATAATAAGGATCCTACTATTTAGGGTACTATATTAAGGTCCCCTATTTTCGGAAACCCCCATATAGAAACTCGGAACGCTGAATATCCGAGCCTCAATGCCAGCCTGGAGTCTCCCGGGTTCGCACCAAAGACACGGAGCAAGCAAGCTTCAATTTCAGAGCAACCGGGAGCCTAAGTGGTGATTCCTTGACGGCATGAGCCCTATACCTTGAAAGCTGTACAAGTTCAGAAACCCTGGAAAAAGCCAAAAACAACCTTCCTAAACCCTAAACCCTGAAAAAATCAAGCCCTCCTAAGCTTCAAAAGCCCGCACGTAGCCTCAAGGCCAGACTTGTAAAAATTCGCCAGCAAACTCCGTTTTCAGGACCATGGGCCCGGACTCGGCAACCGGCTCTTACCTCAGAACTCACCTTTTTTGTTCATTTTTTTTGGAGGGGGGGTCCGAAAATAGGGGACCCTAATGTGGTACCCTAAATAATAGGCTCCTGATTATAAGGACCCCAAAATAAGGTACCCCCCCCTATTTTCGGAAAGTCCCTCATGGGCTAAAAGCAAGTACTGTTTGTCGAGTCTGAAGAAGCGCGTCTTAATCCCGGAATATTTCGGGGAGAGATTTGATGTTCGGGGCTTTTGTTCGGCTTCAGATGGACGCGCGAATATTGGGAGTGGTATGCATCTTTGGCAAGGCTCGGGGTTTTGGGCATCGCCGTGTCGGGTTTCGGGGTTCGCCTTTCTTTTCGTGCAGGCAGGAAAGGAGAGGGGCCGGCTCAAGGGGTACAAATTTGAAGGTTCTCGATTCAAGGCTTTTTGAGACAGACAGGCTCAGAAGAAGCTAACTTGTAAGTGTGTGGCTGCACATTCAAGCCCGAAACTTGTATTTCTGCCCGAGAACGAGCACAACTTGTCGAAGTGCTCGCGCGTGGCGAGGCATATTCATGCCCCTGCAGTACCTCTGGCAGGTGGATCCCGAATACGCCGCGGCCTCATCACAGAAGCGTGGGTTCCGGGGTCTTTCGGACTTGTAGCCCATCGAAGTTCCTTGGCAAGGTCTGACCATGTAGGATCAGGGAATGATGTGGTCTGCGATTTTGAGCTGCTTGAGCGTTATATTCCTACAAATGGATGCTGCTGACAACGGTTGTACGTTGAGCTCATGAATCCAGAATCATTCAATTTTTACGGCGTGAGGGTTCGAGTCATGAGTTCCAGCAGTCGAGCATGTGCCGGAACTGGATCCCCGACTTTGCCTGCCTTTCCAAGCATTTGGGCGTCCTAGGACTGGGACAAGCCAAGCAGCGAGCCTCACGGCTGCAATAGCGCGCACATGTGACGCAAAGCGATACAGCTTGCGCCAGGTTCAAGGCCCTTTGATCACTCCTTCCCTCGATGGGTTTGCGGGACGACTGGAGATCGAGGGTGGGATACGGTTTCCGGGGCCTGGTCTGCTGAGCTCCTTTGTGGCCGCAATATTCGTTGATGTGTTTGGTGCTTCCGAGCTTTCATTTGCAACCGAGGAACTACCAGGCCTCTGAGCCGGTCAACAACTCGGGGCTCTTTGCCGACATCCGCAATCGATTGGACGCGGACTACCATGGCTACTACACCGAGCGGAGGCAGCGATTGCAGGACACCGTCTCCATGCCTGCTGCTTGATTTGCAAGGGGAAGCATGTGTCCGGGGGGTGCTGCTGGCCATGGGTATCATGCAGCCATAAGCGAAACGCCCATCAGCGAGACACATCTGCACATAGCCCAGATCAGCTCTTGCAAACTACTTGTATGCCCGGTGAAGGATGAGTTGTTGCAAGATGTTCTGGCCAGTGGGCTGCCCGACGAGCGCCCGTGGATCGTGTGACGTGGCGTGAAATCGGCCCTGTGATTACAAGGTATGCTGTCTGCTCATTACGGGTTGAATAGGCGCGGTAGATATCTCCACAGCTGTGGCTTTCCGTCGAACTTATCGTGCCAGTGCAGCTTGCCCGGGGTCGCTAAGCCCGGAGCCCAGCCGCCCAGGTATACTGCTGGAGCCATGGGGGCGGGAAAATCTCACGTCGTGCGCTGGCTGTGCCCGCCTTGGAATTCGACGTCCCGTCTGAGCAGGCACTCGCAGACAGCATCTTGTTCGGCCAAGGTCTCGCAACGACTACTTTGCACTCCCCATCTTTGTACCTCGCTTGCAAATCAGTTCTCCGAGAGATTTCAAGGTGAACTGAACGTGGCTGCCCTGCCGGTAGGGGGCTTCCCAAGCAACTCATACTGGAGATCCCGATTGCTCCGACTTTGCCACGCACCTCTCCGGCCGTGGATGGCGCTAGAGCAGGAAAGCTACAGTCTGCCTGGATACTTATATACCTCAAGGCGTGCGATTCGAGC